ACATTAACTTAATAAATAAAATTTACTAATTATATGAAATGATTAAAAATTTCAATACAAGAAATACCACGTGTCAGTCTTATATCACTTCCTGATTTTATACTTCGTTTTACATGTGTAATGATTTCGTGATTAATACGTGTTATTTTTTTTTATTACTTTTTCTTTCACCCCTCCGTTAATTTTAAGCCTGCATCTTACACCCACCTTCCTTCGTAAATCCCTTTGTTTCTTTCTACACTTTCCCTAGGCCGTTTCTTTCCCCTTTTATTTGTTCATTCACCTAATAACCTTCTAAATCCCGATCACAATGCTTCATCCAAGAATTACTCAATCCCATCACATTTATTCAAATCCATCAATTATTATTATTTTTTTAAACTTTTTAGTTTTTGCTCATTTCTAATCAACATCGACGGCATCCCAATTTGATGTCGGCGATCTTCAGCAAAGATGAGTTCTTGCTTCCTGTCTCTTGCCTCATCACTTTCATTTATTTCTTTTTTTAGTTTAAGACTAGTGAATAGTTATTAACATTGAACAGAAGCATCAACAACAATGTTGGACTAATTTTACACCTAAACACTGAAATTCAAATTGAATGAAGTTTAAATATGTTCGAAGAAACATTGAAATAAAGCTTTAAGAGAATTGACCAACTGCAAATTGGTTAACAAACAAAATAACCTTGGACTTGCTACTGCCAACACACTAGCGGTATGCCTCTTCTTCATCATCATCCTTGTTAAATTCCCAAGGAACTCCAACTAAAATAGCTCTCACATCTCATTCTTCTACATTTCAGGGAGCTGCTTTAGGCGCTAGGCAAGTGGAAGTAACAATCAATGGCATTGGTGAAAGGGCTGGAAATGCTTCACTAGAGGAGGTAAGTATTTGGTTTTTGCATGATGAGAGAATGAATTTGTGTTATGCAAAATTGTTAAAACGTGATTAATGTAAATAAATTTAAATTGCATAAAATTGTATTGGAGAATGGAACTAAACATTATATGTATATGAATATTTTGGAAATCATTTTTATTTGTGAAACACATTTTGAAAATTTTTTGAACTTTTTTTTGTTAAAGAAGGAAAATAAAAAATATATAATCAAAAAAAGAAACCATATATATAATATGATGATTTGAATATATATATATATATTAATTTGAAATTTTTATCTTAATATTATTAATATTTGGATGAGTTTTATAAGATTTTACATGATTTTATATAATTTTTATTTTTGGGTAGAAAAAGATTTAATTGGAAGAAATCATATTTTTAGAAGTAAATTGCAAAGATAAAAAAACTAAGGATTAATTTGTGTGGAGTTCGAAAGTTAGAGATCACGACTATCATTTTATCTTTAACAAAAATTGCATTAAAGGCCAAAAACGGACATGGAGTTTTGAATCTTTTGATTCAGCGCTTGACTAAAGGTGTCGGCACGTTGTTGAGTGCATTCACCTCTTGTGCGATTTCAACAAGTTCATGGCTGCTCTAATTATTTTGGTGCGGGTCTCATTTTTATTTTAATTAAAATTTTTAAAATCTTATAAATACTTATTTAAATTCAGAGTTAAAGGGAGTTTTTGGAAGCTGGTGGTTGCTCTTTTTAAGTATTTTTGGAGATCAAAATAAAGAATTTATCAATAGTAAAAAATAAAAAATTTTAATTTGATTTTTATATTTGTGATATTGTCATTTTAGGATAAGTATATATTATTGTTTTTAATACTTGATTATTATTAAAATTGATATGGAGAGCATAATTAAAATCAAAAAGAGATTTATACAATAACTTTTAGTAATATGTATCATGGATTGAATGACAGTTAAAAATGAACCAATGTAATTCTTATAATATTAGTGATAAGTGAACTTAATTTTCTATCTAAACTAAGAAATTTTACAAAATATAATGCATATTTATTTATTTAAATTTATAAAGAGATACAAAGGTTT